AACGGAAGAACAGTTGAACAGCATTTTGGCTCTGGCTGGTCCAAGTACATTTCAGCCAGATTTGAAGCATCATCAAAATCATTGTCAGCGACAAATTCATCAACAGCGCATTCAAGAGAACTGCCAGCAGCGTGATCGCCCTCAAAATCAACATCGGCAACCTCATCAACAGGAGCATAATTATCAACATTATCATCATCAACAACAACAAAATCATCAACAAAACCCAGAGCAGTATCATCACCGGCCTGTCTATGAAAATGACATACCGTCGGTTCTGTCGCCATTACCAGAAAACGATGCGGTTGATAAATTTAGCTTGGTTTTTCTCGATGATGGCTCGTTGAAACTTTCGCATCCGGCGTTGCAGAAGGATTTCCTAGTACGCTTTTTCAGATTTTTTCGATAAAATTTGAGTAGTTTAGTTCGATATTTTAATTTTTTGTCAGTTTGTATATATATAATACATAAATTTACTAATGTTCTTTCAGTAGAATTTGAGTATTTTAGTTCGATATTTTAATTTTTAGTCTTTTTTTATGTATGTAGTACATAAATTTACTAAAAATATATGACATTCCTCACAAATTTTTTCTGAAGTAGCTGGCTTGTTGAAAACAAGCTAAACTGGGTCATGAAAATGGCAGAATACAAGCGACACCACGGAACGAATTGGACTTCTTGATAGACATCTACAATTCCATCACGCACTCGCGAATAATAAAATTTCTGAAATTTCTGAAAAAAAAAAACTATTTTTGAGTTTTTTTTTCAGTTTTCGGCACACCAGCTAGCGCCAGAGAATATTGATGTCCTTAATTTGACTGATCAAAATTTGGGATGTCTGACAAGTGCTGGGGGAGGGGAGAGGGGAGAGACGGATGGGGAGGGAGAAGAGGAGAAAGGGGCATTAACATCGTAATCTGGAGGGATAGTGAAGCTTAGCACCATATATTTGTGTGACATTGTTGCGCATATAATCTACAATTGTGTAGATCGCTGTCGAAAGTGAAATTACGAACAATTTTTTGCCTAGGAAATCGGCAGAACATCATGCGATAAAATATTTGCCCGAAAAACGACGAAGAATCGGACACATCGCAATCTAGAAGAATGATAAAATATGTGAAATATTTGAAAAAAAAATAATTTTCGAGTTTTTTTTTTTCAGTTTTCGGCACAGCAATTAGCGACGGAGAATATCAATGTGCATAATTTGACTGATGAAAATTTGGACAGGATTCTTCAGATAGCAATGGAATCGTGAGCGTTTTTTTCTTCTCATGCAAAAAAATCAGAAAGCGAGGGAATAAATTCCATTCTTCTGTGATTTGCTTTGATCAGAAATTGTTTCGAGAGCCTCTTGCCACGTGAATTCGATCCTTTTTGCATATTTTCTTAGTATTTCGTAAGGGGAAAAATGCTGCCGGTTGATTTGGTTTGATGTCTTACGTTACCGCGAGGCGGTTTTTTTTTATCTTTCATTGTTTTTTTGTTCCTTTTTATGCGTTTTTTGCATCTATGCAATGCAAAAACGCATATTGTCGAGGGGTTGTCTGTGTGTGTATGTGTGTGTGTGTGTCTGTCGA